ATTTTTTGGTCGAGTATTTGACGACGAAATAATCAATTACAAATCTTTTTTTCTAATTGAACAAAATAACTGAATAGTTGTTTCCTATGAACTATTTCTTAATCGAGCATTCCTCGATGATATAATCAACTACAGATTTTTGTTTTGATTTAAACAAAATATTTAAACACTTGTTTTCTACGTACTATTCCTGGATCGAGTGTTCCTTGATCCTATAATCAACTACAAATCTTTGTTTAGATTTGAAAAAAATATTTGAACACTTGTTTCCTACGTACTATTCCTGAAACGAGTGTGCCTTGATCATGTAATCAACTGCAAATCTTTCCTTCGAATGGAACAAAATAGTTGACTAATTGCTTGATATAAATGATTTCTTAATTGAGTGTTTCTCGATAATACAATCGACTCCAAAGCTTTGCTTCGAATTGAACAAAATATTTGAATAGTTGTTTATTACGTATTATTCTTTGATCGAATGTTTCTCGATAATATAATCAACTCCAAATCTTTGTTCTGAATGAAAAAAAATATTTGAATAGTTACTTATTATGAATAATTCTTTGATCGAGCGTTTGTCGATTATATAATCGAGTGTCACCCTTTACTTCGAATTGAACAAGATATGTGAATAGTTATTTCCTATGAATTATTCCTTGATCGAGTATTCTTTGATAATATAATCAATCACGAATCTTTGCTATGAATTAAACAAAATATTTAAATATTTGTTTCGTATGAATTATTTCTTGATTGAATGTTCCTCGATAACATAAGCAATTTTTAATCTTCGCTTTGAGTGTAACAAAATATTTGAATAATGTATTATTATTATTTGTTCATCTTTAGCGTATTTCTACAGGCAAGTACCAATCTATTGTTTCTTCGAAGTGAGAAGCATATTTGAATAGGATGTTTAAACCAGGTATGTTGTGCCGATATAGAGTGTTAATTATAACCCATCGAAAGAATGCTTTGATAGTGTATACCATCGTTCATCGTTTCTTATATGAGTTTATAATCATTTGCAGTATGTTAATATCTTGAATTGATCCAATACTTTTCATGAAATACGATCTACAATAAGTTTTGACGTATGGAGATAAAAATTTGAAGCCTCCTTCCTCTCATAGAGCGTGATAGACACTAGTTAGTGACCACCATTTATCGTGGCAGACCTTGTTGATATACGATCACACACTTTATATCCAAAAACTTCTCGTTATAGTCTATGAACTAATTTCTTATTATGTTTCAGAAGAATTAACAGGAGGTTGAAGAAATGTATCATTTTAATCCCGCATGGGTTGCATTAATAGATTTGTTTTCTTCGTAGGAAATATGGTACTAGCGTCGCTTCACATTGTTAAATGGGACGATAGCATCAACCATCATGGAAATCAACAAACATTAGTCGTCAGTTAATTCCCTCCTCTCATCTTTTAAACTAATTAGCATCCTTGATTTATATTCTCACTATCTGCTTTTTTTCTGTTCTTATATATTTAATATATTTTTCTTTTATTTTTTCTGTTTTATTCATTATTATCAATCTTAATAAAGCTCATATAAAACATTGCGTTTGCCTTCGTATCCCTTTTAGTACGGATCTTTTTTGAAGAAAAAAGTTGAGTTTTCACTTAATAAAATGGACTGAGTCGAAACAACTGACAATACAAACACTTATATTACAATCTTTATACATGTAACGTGAATCAGTCTTCTTTCTACGTCCTTGGTTAGTTTCTGTGTACATACAACACAGATTTTCTGAAGAGTTCTTTTTATTTGTTGTTTAAGGTGCAAGACATGGAAAGCGTTTAGCACTAAGTAGGCTGGTCGGTGGATGAGTCAATATGAGACTATTCTATAACATCTTCATATGTAACATGTATATCAGAAAAAAATCATTCTTAAAATTTCAATTTTTGTGCATTTAAGGGCTTCTTTTCTTAGTCGAACTTCAAAGCCACATATACAAGACCACGGTCCCAGAGGGTTCAGGACAAAAAACAAATATCGAGAACAACTATGAGACACGTGTAATTGTCTTTTTTTACTCAAAATCCTGCATTTCGTCAATTGTTGTATAATTCAGAATGAGGCTGTTAGTTTTTAGAATATTCCTGCAATACAACTAGAAGAGCTTTGAATTACCACAAACGAGTTGAATTTTTTGAGAATAAGAGTCCCATGAGGAACCTGAAAATACTACATTGGTATTTGCTTCAATTAGAAGATAATGCATCTTTTCATGTTTCAAGCACAGCCCTATTGAATGGGTACAATCTTATTCTATTGTTTGAAATTCGATCGTAGATTTCTTTCAGGCATCATATAAATTGAATCCTTGATAGAAATCATCAAAAAAAAACCATAGTTCAAGATAAAAGTAAGTTTTTCATCTAAAATAAAAACTCTTTACGATGGAATTATCTCATTGAAATTTTCTTCAATCATCTTCCAAACTTAACATTGTCTGCGAAAGTTCATTCTACAGAGTTCAACATGAAACATGCACTTCATATCATTTTGTAAGAAAAAGAAATAAAAAAGTTCGATTGCTCACGTTGGTAGCTCCTGCAACTACATTTACTAAATAAACAATATAACAAATCATGTTTTTTCATGCATTTAATGTGCTGCATGATAGGATGTGGGTAACTGTCAATGAGGGCTACGAAAATATTCTCAACTCACGCCCACGTCCATACTTCCACTCACATTCACACCCAAGCACAATAAAATTCAATAAAACTTACATTAAGTAAATCACATGCACGCGGGCAGTATATTGTTCATGTGTTTCTATGTGTAAAATGAGCTAATCTGAAAGTTTAGTTGAATTGAATCCTGAAAAAATAAGTTCGGACTGAAATGGTTAATGCATCACTAATGGATGGAGTATTTAGAATAAATGATGTTGTAACAATAATGCAAGTGCAGTCAGTTTACGAATACTCCAAAGATGGATTTGAACATCCATAAAATTTTGTAAATAGATTGCGTATTAATCCTTGGCGCTCTGAATAAAAGACAAAGTGGATTGCTGTGTCTGATCACTTTCGTTATTATCATTCGAATTAACGACAATGATATCCATTCTCGTATTATTACTGAAATCATCAAGCGTACCGGTCAGTAAAAGAATACATGTTAGATATAAATCTCTATGTGATCATCATTCTTTAAATCATCGAGAACCAGTGACCACTGAAAGCATTATTGTTTTTACAAAAGCTTTACTCAAATATTCCAGAAGTATGCTTACACTTTGGCTATGATAATTAGTGACGGTGTTATCTAGTTCAGTGTCAGTGCTTGAACATTCATGATCACTCTTCATAGTGAGGATGGCCAAGTACTTTGGTGTTTAATTTTATTGAAGTCCTTACTCACAATTCTCCTAGAGTTAAAATTCGTTCATCTCTCTCTTTAGTTTCAATATGGGTTCTTTGAATATGCCCATGATTGCAGCAGCTCATTCTTTGACATCATATACTAGACACGAAAAATATTATCGTGTGATTTTTCTCTCCGTGCAATAAAGTGAAAAGAAAAGAAAATATCAAAAATGTTTTTAAATCTTTGATTAGATCTAGCGTTGTAATTGTATCTCATGGTTCTGAAAGACTGCATATATAATGTTATAGATCTATTCGTGCCGCAGTATTCTTGACACAAATCAACCATTGTGACGATACTTATCATAGTTGATTGACTTTATTGGCATTTATTTTCACATCCATTCGATTGAAAAGTAAGGGAAGGAGTGAGCTTCACCAGAAATGGTATCTCTCTGGACTAAAAGGTATTGAAGTGTCATAAGTTAATAGACAAATAATTGAAACGTTTCGACAGTGTAGCATTTTCAAACAATGACCGTTTCTTGATCCTTTTATACACATATATACCGTAAGATTCTCTAGCTTGTTGTCTTCTTCAGCTTGAACCTTCTACGTTCACATTCAAACAGCGAGACATAGCTGAATGATGGGTAAAAGCATCATCTGTCATTTTTCTATTATTCTATGTTTGATATATCTATATGAATATAGGTCAAACAGCAGCAGTTTCATTTGTTTCCTGTTGTTCGAATGCATACTTGAATCAATTAAATAATGTAAAAACTACTTTTAGTTCCATAGATTTTCTTTTTCAAATAGAAGTATTGTTATCTTTAAAACTGTTTAAATAACAAATTAATGGCATATAAGAGACGAAAAATATTCGATGATAACCCATGTAAAAAAAAAAGTAGGCAAAAACCAACTATTAAGTACTTTCAAAAGTAGATTTTAAACAGGAAAAAGTACTTATAAGTGAACCTTTTTAAGTACTTTTCATACTTTTTGACTAAAAAGTACTATTAAGTACTATTGAAAGTGTGAAAAAGTAATAAAACTCACTTAGAAAAGTTAGAAAAGTTAATTTATTTTTCTGTATTAATATTAAAAGTACTTAATAGTATGTTTTATTTAAGAAACTACTATTAGGTACTTTTAATGTTAATACAGAAAAATAAATTAACTTTTCTAACTTTTCTAAGTGAGTTTTATTACTTTTTCACACTTTCAATAGTACTTAATACTACTTTTTAGTCAAAAAGTATGAAAAGTACTTAATAGTTGGTTTTTGCCTACTTTTTTTTATATGGGTACCAGATATAGAGAACAGTAACATATGACAGGATTAAGTATCTTTCACTCTTTCTCTTTTATGTGATGCTTTGATTCTTTTATTTGATCGATTTTTCCCTGATGGATCGTTATAGAGAATATGGTTGTGATCAAACAAAAAAGCAAGGACAAGTATTGATTGAATCACTCTTTAAAGACGACGTTTGAACGATAGATCATTATCATCCTTAGGCACTATATATAAGCATAAGAATCGATACCAATGGAGTACAAAATCAATGTCAAATATGAATACAATCATACGCCTGGTACTTCTTCTGACTAACATTATAATTATTATGATATGTTTTGATCATATCGATGGTAAGTGTTTTTGTAGAGGAATCTTCATTTCTTATAAGTAACTCAACAAAAACAACGGCAAAATTTCAATAGAATATCTCTATTAATAGGTAAATCGGATGAATGCTCCGATCAAGAACATTCATCATTATGTTTTTGTCGTTCATCATATCGACGTTCTATCTTAACTGATCTGTTTCTTGCTAAAATATTTCTTTCCCAATGTAATAATTCTTTCTCTACTCGTCAATGCCATCAAAATGAATTTTATCCACCTTTGTTTGATCTTACTCAACTTATACCATCACTCACTAATCTTTCACATTGTCTCGAACATAAACATTGTCTTCATAAACTACATTCTATACAATATTGTCAACAATGTCAGTTGTTAACATCATCATTATTGACACATAATAATCTATATCCTATTCATGAAATGATAAATAATCTTTCAAATGATATATGTTTTTATCTATGTCATCATGATAGATCATGTGGTTTTCTTTGTCTTAATCGAAATATAATAGTATCAATTAATTGTTATCTATGTCAAGGACGAATACAGAATATCACTTGTCGGTAGGTTGAATTCTTCATTGTTCAAAAATTTATCTATAATTAATATGAATATTCTATTTTGTTTTTATTTTTATAGTTGTATTAAAAATAAACAATTATTAACATGTCTTCAATCATCCTACGAAAGTACAACACATCGTTGGATGCAAAAACGTGGTTTTCCAGCTGCTGGTATTCTTGCTACACTTGTCTTAGCTGTCATATTATTAGTCATTGCAATTAAACTAATCTATCATCAATTGGATAGAAATAGAACGACATCAAAGTAGACCTATTCATGATTTAATACGTCAAAATTAAAATCAATATTTAACACATTATGATTTTAATACACAATAGATTGTTTCTAGAATAATCATAAAAAAAAAGAAATAATTGTTGAGATTTGTTTATATAATGTTGAAAATGAATTGAATATTTTATTATTATTATGATTATTTGGGAAAAAAAGTATATTAGAAAAATTACATTTCGTTTGTATTTAAATTATTTTTTTCTGTTTGAAAAGCAATAATTTTGGTTTGAGCTTGAGATAAATTTTCTGAACGATAAACTTTTTCATGAATCCATGGTTGAGAAAAAGCTTGATAAATTGTAAGACGAATACGAGGATTTACTTTAAGAAGATTAGTAACAAAATTCTAATGAAATAATAAGAATAATTTAATTTAAAAAAAAAAAACAAAATCAATTAATACATACTCTTCCATTTATTGATACATGATCCCATTCTAATGAATTATATTCAATTTTACCTTTAAGAATTTTTTGAAAAATTTGTTGTTGTGTACCATAAAATGGATATGTACCCGAAAGACTAAATTAAATAAATCAGATAATCAAATATGTTTTGTAAAAACAAACCGTACCAAAAGAAAATCAATATACCCAATTGCCACATATCTGTTGATGCAGAAATGGATTCACCACGTAATATTTCAGGTGCTAAAATGAAATAGAAAAAAAAACAGAAAATAATTATTAATTAATTAATTAATTTTTTTTTTCTTTACCACAAAAACTTGGTGAATTATTAACAAGAAGACTAATGGCATCATGTGTACATAAATTTGAATAAGCATAATCAACAAGACATACTTTTTGTTCATTATCAATATCACGAATTAATATATTTTCACCATGAAGTTTTCCATGATAAATTTTACGTTCATGCATATACTAAAAAAACAATAGTCAAAGAAATTATGAAGACTATTTTTCATACCTGAAGTCCTTTTAATATTTGAAAACAATATTTTGATAAGTCATATTCTGTATAGACTTCTGTTTGAGTTATTCTTAAAAAGAAATGAGCAACAAAAAAAATCAAGATTAGAATAACGTTTAATTTTAAATATAATTCTTTACTTTTGAAAAAGATTCGGTCCATTAACATAATCTTGAACAATATAAATATGTGATGGTGATTCCACAATTTCACGAATGACAACCTTTTAAATAATAGATAGATATTTAAAATAATTATATGGCGTACAAAGGAAAGCATTTAGAAATAGTTTATTATTTTAGAGCTCACATAGAGAGAGTTTCTAGATTAGAAGAACTCTCAAACTGATTCAAACACATACACAATATTTACCGGATTACACTTGTTTTAACACCTTTTTATAATTGAGCGGAATATGAGTAGAAAAATTGAAAAAAAAAGGATTTATAGGACCTAGTTCATAGATACACTTTTCTGATTAAAAGTTATTTTGTTTTAATTTTCCTGCTCATTTTCTGTTGTATAGTGAAAACCTAGTCAAATCGATAGAACTCTATAGATGCAATCTATGTGAAGGAAGCGATTGAGGTAATGGTTTCGTTAATCATTAACAAATTTTCTACAATTATTTCAATCATATAGTTCGAGTCCATAAAGAAAAAAACAATTATGATTAGCAATAAATCTAACTCTCTCGGCCATCACCTAGAAAGAAATACTGAGCCTGACACAGAGTTCTTCTACTCGATTGCTTGAGCTTCTCTCTATATACATTGGCTAGTCACAATGTAGTCAACATACTACCGAATAAATGATCCGAAACAAATAGTCATTAGTGACTTGTCCCAATTAGTTTCATGGCTAGTAGTACTGAGTTATGCACATTCTTCAAAACTTCTTAGATCGATATATAACTCATTCTAAATACTATATATATATAATTTATCAAAATACCAAATTTGGATGATCAAGTTGTAGAACAAGTGAAGCATTTTTAATTGGAGTTTTTCGATTGCCCTATAGAAACAAATAATAAATATTATTATTTTTTTTTTGTATTTTATAACGCACTTGTTTTAGAATGCATTTGACCGCTCGTATTGTTTGTCGGTTTTTTAATCGACATTTATATACATCAGCAAATTTTCCACTATAAAAAGAAAAATAAAATGTGTTTCTTTTTTTTTCTGACCAATAATTTTCAGCTCAATAAATTACTGATTAATTAATTCATCAAAATCGTAGATATCTTCGAATTTATGTACTACTGTACTACCACCAATCCAACGTGATTGTTCTATTGATAAGTTTTCATTTTGTTGATGTTCTTCTACCATTATGAAAATGTAGAGAATATACCTTGACAATGACAAACGTAAAAAGTGTAGTGACAACAAGAAAATGTCATTTGATAGATTTATAGGCAAAAAAAAGAAAAGCAGAAAAACATTCATCGTCAATAGAAGTAAAAAAAAAGAAAGTTCTTTAGTTACGACGTTGGAAGCAAAGAACGAGAAGTGTTGTTTTTTTGTTTTTACTTGTACGTGTCGTACAACCACATTAAAAATTACATTGGATTGAAAAGAATTTCAATGTAAAAGAAATCATTGCATTTTTTCGTTTTTCTTCTTATATCAAATAAAAATACAAAATGTAATAGTATTCTTTGATATAGTAATTCAATATGTCTAAGTATTTTTTTTTACAATTTATTTCAGATAACATAGGTTTATTATCTGTGAAAAAAAAAGTAAATAATTTTTAATTGATAATTAATGCTTTGGTAATGGAGAAATAAAGAAAACGATGTCTATTTTTTTTTATTCAAATAAATTTCAAGGCCTTCTTAATATTCTTCACAATAAATTCAATATAACATAGAAATCAGAATGACAACACTCAAAATGAAGATCGGTTTTGTATTTTGTCTTTCCAAAAGTGTGTATTCGCTCTTCATAATTCCAAACTATTTCTTCAAAAAAAAAGAAACCTTTCATAAAACAGAGAATACTACCTTTCAATAATCGAATGCGTTTTTCTCATTAATACTAACACATCTACATTTATGACCGATATTTCTCGTCTATCTCGAGTTTTTGCAGATCCCAATTGATAAAATAAAGATAATATACGAAGTTGTTACTCATTTATCATGAATATATGAAGACACTAGATAAGGCTTCATTTCAAAAAAGAACAAGCAGTTATATTTATCTAGTGTTTTTTCAGTCTTATCATTGTCTATTTTTGAACTGTTTAAAATTATTCTTTACTATTCAATATCACACATACTTGCAACTCCTCTACATAAGAAGAAACAATCGTGCATAATTTCAATTGAGACGATACTGTTAAATTTTTAACTAAAAATTTGATCGCATAAAGACATTAATTAAACTAACTTATAGAAAAAAAAATTTAGGGTTTTCTTTTTTAAATATAAACGCTTTGCGATAGTTATTATCAGAAACATGGCTGTGTGGAAAAATGCATATTTTGAAGATACAGTATAACTTCTCTATGTGGGCACCTCACTTATATGGGCGCGCAGAGGAACGGCCAATAGTTTTTTGCTGGAAATGAGCGTCTATAACAAGGGCACCTCCCTCTTCTGACAGTGGGCACTATTTTTAGACCGTACTGTATAGTTGAATTTCTCTTATATGGACATATACAGTGAATATTTTAATCAATATACTGTTCTTTTTCTTCTCGCACTTCTTGTTATTCTATGAACGAGACAGAAAAGTTTCGTGCGACGTAACAAAGAAAATAACTCATCTGTACATTTCTAATTGTGCAGTCAGTGATAAAAAGAGTATAAATAGTCGTGTTATCTAACGTTACTGCATAAAATCATTGAAAAATGACATCGCATCATTATCTTACACTTGATCTACTCGTCAACCAGCACTTCACCAACTCGTCGTTGATTTGAAATCGAAACTCGTTCATATTTATATTGATTCAAAAACAAATAAGCAAAGCTCTACTTTGGATTTTTTTTTCAAAAAGCTTGATTGTAAATAAGAAAATAGAAAATACACTTAGATAAAGAGAAAATATCGGAAAATGAGAGTGAAATACTGGGCTCAGTCAAAGGCCTAAGGACAGATTGGTAATATATATATATGCATGGGTATTCTTTACGACACAGCTTGCGAAAAGCATGTTTGTGACTGCTACTTATCAAAACTTCTCTAACCAGGGCACCTCCGTCAAGTGGGCGATTTGAAAAAGTCTCGTAGGTGCCCATCTAAGGAAGATTATACTGTACTTGATAATAAAGATTTTCGAAATTCAAAAGTATTATGTCAGGAAAAATCTATTAAACATTCAAAATTATCTCAGAGAACATGGTTCGATTAAATATTATGAATGTATAATATAACAATGAATCTCACTGAGTCCGAACAAATCCTAGGTAGTCAATAAATGTTTACATGTACTTCAGTACGTTCTAGTCACATGCATGTTAACTGGACGTAACTATTAGATATTATCAACATATTCAACTAGTTTTCATAATGCTAATATTGTATACATGTGCAGACTAAAGGCTAGAAAATATTTCTCAGCCAGAATATGGAAAAAGCGTATTCTTCACATTTCTAGGTCGCACGGACATCAAATAGTCGTATCAAATTTAATGTCATCCCAGTCTACATATACTTCACTATTAATTTCAAAAAAGCATCTTCTGACATATAAAGTCTTTTTATTTTGTATTGCTTCACTAATATTTCATTTCCAAAGGTATTTATTCTTCAAAATAAATATTCTTATAAAGAAGAACGATCATAATATTTTATTATGCTTAGTTTTTTTCTCTTATTATTATTTTAACGGTGTGTCATATAAATTACACAAATAAATACAAGGTAATAACAAAAAAAAAATATTCCATATAAACAAAATAAACTACAATAATAAGCTTGATTAATATCAAAACACTAATGAAAAATCATATTAATCATAAAAAAATTTTTTTTTTCTTTTTACCATCTTACATGTCCTTGATATTCTTGTTTTAATGAAATT